CAGATCAGAGGTGTGTTTTGCTGCAGGGTCACAATTTTCTCTCTCTTGGTCTTTCTCTCTATTTTCTTCTGTTGAATCAAACATCAAACCCCCCCCTCTCTCTCTCTGTAACCACACACACTCACACACACACACACACACACACACTGATTACTTTACTGTATTTTATGTTTCTGTGTTGATTTTAGAGCCGTTTCAAGAATGAACTGTCAAACTTAATAATTTGTCATCATGCGACACATCAAAGCCTCTGTGGTTTTCTATGATTCAGACAAAGAATAAAACAAATGTAATTTACTGTGGAGCTGAGATTTAAATGTGACTTGCAGACGCTCTTATCTCGTCGATGGGATGAAATCATTTCCTGCTGATGCGAGGACACAGTTCAGGAAACAGACGAGGAAACGCCGACCAGCTGATCTCCGAACGACAAACCTCCACTCAGACGTGAACCTGCTCCGATAAACTTTACTGTTTGAAACCTACACATTCAAGATTGTCTTTTATTTCATTTCCTAAAACTCTATAATCTCTCTGATAAAGTCTTTGTTGTGCCCTCATCACGACCCTGTTATCTTTTAAAAACCTTTTTTGTTCATTCAATGTATTTAAACGAATTAACCACCAAGATTATGAATTATTAAATACGTTTTCTTTTTGCTGATTTTAGGGAAAACTTTGGTTCATTTTGTCCAATTATTTTCTTTCCTTCCTTCCTCTCTCTTTGTTCTCACGTTGAGGTCAGGGTTTTCCTCTGTGACCTTTGACCTCTTAATTACCTGGTTTTACTGTGTCACATACGTGTGCAACATTCAAAGCACAGAAGCAAACCAGAGCAGTGTCTGGACTGTGGGACACATCTGACCTGATTTAAATCACACACACACACACACACACACACACACACACAGTGGTGGAACCTGCAGGGCCACATACTGTCAGCGGAAGCGTAACGATTAGTGGCAGAACAAATCAGCAGAACAGAAATCTCTTCATTGTGCGTCGGCAGCAGAACAACATTCCTCGGACAGATCAACACGTCAGATCCTCACCTGATACTGTCACTGCATCAAATCACTCACACGTTGGATTTTATTTGAAAAGGAGATTTTTTTTTACATTTTATCAACGTGAATTTAACATCAAGTGTTTAATGTTAAAGCTTTTCATCCTTTTCTTGTTTCAAGGGTAACTTTTCATCTAAAACATTCCCACACTCCCATGATGCATTGAGCTCCTCTCTCCTCCTCTTTCTCTCCATCTGTTTCAGTTCCCGTTCATGTTCATGTAAAGTGGTTTTCTGGTTTCTCTCTCTCCTCCCTCGTCCCTGTCTGCAGGTATTCCTGCCTCCAGAGCTGCAGGGTCCAGAGCCCAATCATCTTACAGTAAATCCTGCCTCCTCCATGTTCGCAACTGGGACACGGACCCAATTTAAAACGTACATGTCAAATATATGTATCGCAAAAATGGTTTGTTTGTCCCAATGTTGGATTTGATCTAAAGTTTGATGATATAAAAATGGGGGGAAACACTCAGAGAATGATTTAGATGCGTTGAGGTGATAACTTCTGTATGAAGTGAGGACACGTGGGTCGCTCCTCACTAAGACACAGTACAAGTACAGGAATGTGTGTGTGTGTGTGTGTGTGTGTGTGTGTCTGTGTGTGAGTGTGTGTGTCTGTGTGTGTGAGTGTGTGTGTCTGTGTGTGTGTGTGTGTGTGTGTGTGTCTGTGTGAGTGTGTGTGTGTGTAGACTCACTGTCAGGCAAACTTGTGACTTACTGAGCTGTAATAAAAACCCCTTCTCTCTCTCCCCCTCTGTCTCTCTCTCTTTCTCTATGTCTGTCTCTCTGCCTGTCTCTCTTTCTCTCTCTGTCTTTCTTTCTTTTTTTCTATCTGTCTCTGTCTGACTCTCTGTCTGTCTTTCTTTCTCTCTCTCTCTCTCTCTGCACAATGTTTCAGGGTCTCTCTACCACAGATCATTCATAGTTACCAGACTGAAACTTTTCTACATAATTGTAAAACAATACTGCACACACACACACAGACACACACACAGACACACAGACACACACACAGACACACACACACACACACACACACACACACACACACACCCTCTCTATCCCTTCACATTCCTCTTCTCTTACTCAAACAGAGAACATCCATTCACCCTCTTCTTTCTTTCTTTTCTTTGTCTTTTCCCACATCACAACCCTCAGCAAAATAAAAAGTGCTCCTCACCTTGAACCCCGCTGACATCCATCATCTGCCCGCATCTGTCTGCAGCTGCTGCCGCCACCAGGTCCACGAGCCCCGGATTCAAACCAGCAAACAAACCAACAAACCAACAAACCAACAAACCAACAAACAAACAAACAAACCAACAAACAAACAAACAGTGTGAGTCCAGCTGCTGTGTCTCTGCTGCTGGAGACTGAGGACAAACGTCTCTGATTCTGTAACAAGTGAAAGTCCAGGTCGAGGATTGAGCTGAACAACAAACTGATTCACTGAGTCCTCAACTCCAAGTTACACACACACAACTACACATCTGCCTTCCAGTGGAGCCTTCACAATAAGAGCACAGCCATGTGGGTTCCAAAATACCTCCCATGGATGGATCACTGAAGAGGCACATCTTTAATCAAGCAGCCACAAACAGACACAGAATCATTTCAAAGAGATGCAAAGAGACTGAAGTTTTCATAACCGGATGCAAAAGACACAACTTGCTGCATTTATTCCTATTAACACTGAAAAAATAGGTTGATCAGTTAGATTAAACATTGAAATCAGTGGTGTAGGTGATAGAAAAGACAAAGGAGAAGACATCAATGGCCAAAAGTCTTTCAATGGAAAAACATTATTTTTAATTCATAATCAGTGAAAATCAGATTTAAAGTTTGTATAGTCTAAAGAATTCAAACAAGCAAACTGGAATTTTGGTAGCTGAGAATATTGTTTTCACTTTTGAATTTACAAAAGAGATTTTAAAATGTTCAATTCCCAAACACAAGCTACCATATAATAATTTAAACCTAAACTAGAAGGACACTCTGAGCTCAACAAGGCCCAACAGACCCCTCATTCAAACACGTTTAAAAACCCTAAATCCAGGGTTTTATTTGGATCTGCATCAAATTTCAGACACAAAGTTCCATGAGTTATAATCTGAGAAATCATTGAACATGTTAAAAATGCCCCCTGATACAGACACACTTTATTTAATGAGTTCTTCTCTGACCCACGCTGCGTCAGGTTTAGTGGTAATCTGTCCAGTTGTTTTGCAAAATCCTGCCAACTGACAAACAGAAGGTTCAGCGTCCACAGCCATACAAGCTGAACATTAAACATCATTTACTGAAAATGAAAATATCCAACGATTGAAGCCGGGATCAAGTGGCACATGTGTGAAGTCCTTTTATTCTGAAGGCAGGCTGCTGCTGCGCCTGTCTGTGCAGCTGTGTGAGTTTTAGAGGCTCCTGTTGTTTTTAGTGTTGATGCTTCACAGCTCTCACACTGAAGAGCTGTCTGTTGCTTTTCATGTCACAGAGACTCTGTGTGTTTTATTAGAAGAAACTCGTTTGTCAGCTTGAGCCAAACGGCAGATAATTACCAGCCATAAAATGATGTAAATACTTATTCACTGTGTCGGAGTATTTGTGGCTTAAATTGTGCACAACTACATTTGTCTTCCTGCAAATGTGCTGAACATGCAAAGGTTTCTTTTTGTTCCTTTGGTTTATGTAAATGGAATAACACCATATGATCATAAACTCTAAACAGACATAGAAGAAAAACAAGATAAAGGTTTTATTAGATGGATTTATTTGTTTCCTACATTAAGGTACTATAAAACAGTACATTTCTTTAGAAAATGTAGAAAAATAACAGTCTAACTATACAAAAGACATTTCCAAGACAACAATACTATATAATAAAAAAATACAAATAACATTTACAAGTAGGAAATGCTGAATCTTCCCTTCCAATACACTCAGAGCTGCTGATGAACCAGACGTTGTTTTAAGTAGCAACACAAATGTTGGTGTTCGAAAACAAAAAGACCAAAACTTTGATAAACGTTTTTTGCTCCAGATGAGAAGTGAATGACGGCAGCTGCCGATCCTGAAAGAAAAAATGTTGATGGGATCCATGACTGAGACAACATGTGGCTTAAAAACAAATATATGAAAAACTGTTTGGTTTTTTTGTTTTAAAATCAAAATTACGACGTATTATCTCAAACTGGATTATTTGTGTCTCGTTCTGGCAGGAATGTTATTTTGAAAGTGGTTTAGTTTTAAATGATGTCCTCGTTCTTCTGGTCCCTGCGACAGTGGTAGGAAAACGATTACAAAGCTTACAGACATATAGAACTATAAATGCAATACTTTAAAATATGTAACCAAAGTACTCAGTATATAATGTGGTAGGAGTGGCTCCACCTGCCAAAGGAGTTCGAGGTGCATATTCTGACGCTGAGAATCACATGTTAGAATCACATTAGCGTGTTTCTGCTGATTTCAGTGGTCCTCATGTTGCTTAAACAAATACTGAGCCGACATTTCTGTTTAAAACATTTAAAATAATGTTAAAACATATAAAAGGGAAAACTCAGTATTCATAAAATGACTGATCTAACTCTCTAATTAATAATCCTGGCGTTCCAAATCTCAGGAGATGTTTCGATCCTGAGGGATGTGACCACAGAACATCTCCACGTGCCACAACAAAGTTTCAGCAACATCCACTCAGGAGTCAGTTGACAATCGGCCGACACAGCGTCGAGTCTTCGGTCTGAGCGGGTTCACTCGACGAGGTCCTGGTTCCTCCGACCGGTGTTCTAGCTCGATGATGTTGTAGAACTCAGGAGCCGAAGCTGTAGAACGAGCTGCTCGCCATGGAAGCTGTGGACTCGTCTTCTACGATGCAGTGGTTACCATAGTTACCGTGGTCCAGTGTTGCAAATTGCATTGGTTGCAATAATTCCCAGGGACTAGTTTTAAAAAAAAACTCACTGGTTACCATGGCTGCCAGGGATTAGTGCTTAAGATGTAGTGTTAACATAGTTACCACAGAATAACGTTCCAGAAACCAAGTGTGTGCCATAATTATGATCAGTGTTTTATAACGTGAAGAACGGGAGACTCTCCAATGGCCTTTGAATTATTCCAGTTTTTGTTTCCATGACGATCAGATGACAGCACCCATGAGAAAGTGTTCAAGTCTGAGACCAACACAGTGTTTTTGTCCCCGTGACGACATCACGGAGCTGGTCCTCTTGTCATTGGCTGGGAGGCGTCCTCCTACAACGAAGCCACGGGAGCGAGTCCCTCGCTGTGCTCCAGGTGGTGATGGTGGTGCAGCTCCGCTTTACAAACTGTGGCCGCGCTGCAGTGGAGCGACGTGACAACAGACGGCTCCTCGTCACCTGGGAGACACAGTGCGAACAATTAGCCACATGACAGGCAACAAATTTAAAGGGAATGAAACGAACAGAAAATATGATGAACATGTTGTTTTCAAACCCTTGTGACAGAGAAGTGGAATTTAGGTTTGATATTTTACATTTTAATCATCAAACTTTCTTATAATTAAATAAAAATAAAACACAGATATATAGAACTTGAATTTAAACATATTTGCACATTTTCCTGCATTGTTTATTATTTGTATATATATATAAGTGCTCTAATAATGATGTTTTAAATTTAGTGAGTTTCCACAAAGTCATGGCCGCCACGCTCACCCAGGCCTGACGAGGACGATTCACTGTCGGCTATGGAGGAGGAGTCAGCCTGGTCATGTGACAGTCCCTCCATTAGGGGAATGGACAGCTCTGACGAAGGGACCGATGAATCGTAGATGCCTGAATCTCGAGGAGGGGGGAGCTCTGGAGGGGTGGGGTGGTCTTCCTCTGCCTGGGTGGAGACAGGACACACCCCATCCTGCAGGATGGATGGAGCAGAGGAGGAGGAAGAAGATTCTTCGGGTGAAAGTCCAGACACTCCAGAGATGGACCTGAAGGACAGGAAGAGCAGCAGGGTTAGGGTTTCAAACACGCACTGAATGAACTCAAGATCTTCTCCCGAAATGTTCTGGAGGGGCTGCGTTTGAGAACACAAATGTCTGAGTCATGTGCTGTGAACATTCTCCAGAGATTTTCCTGCCAACCGCCCCCAAGTAAAAAGTCAGGATGACGTCTGTCGGGGCCCACGTGAGTCACCGTGAGCGAGTCGACGACGTTTATAACACGCGACAGATGCAAACAGGAAAAAAACTAAAAGAACACAAATGTCTCAGGATGAAACAGAGGAGACGTAAAGATGAAGATGTCAACTTGGAAAGACGAGGCTCGAGAACGTTTGGTGATATGAGCCAGCGGATGTTCTGTAAACAAAAACACTGCGTCCTGCCTGCTGCTCCACCCATCACCTGAATGCTCCAGAGATTTCTGTGCGGTTGTGAATGCAGAATCTCCGGTTACATTCTTTACATGTGAAAGGCAAACTGTGGTGTGGAGCTGTTGTGGGAACATGTGAGTGCTTCATCAAAACTTCTAAAAATACGTCCCGGAGAACTTCAGCTGTAGCTCACAGGAGGTATTTCTCTTTTCTTTACCTTGAAGCGGGTCCCAGCAGAGAAACAGAGCAGTGTGGCAGACCTGGACTGGGACAGAGACCAGGACTGGGGCAAGGACCAGGACTAGGACTGGGGCTGAGATTGAGAGCGGGACTGGAGCCCGAAGCCAGCAGGAGCATGTTCCTTTTCGGACCTCCATTCCCGCCCTCCAGCGACGGCGTCCTCACCAACACCTCGTTCAGCACCAAACCGGAGTCAAACCTCTGCTCGGGCTGCGGCGAGGAGGAGGAGGAGGAGCAGGGAGTCTTTGGGGGACTGGAACCCGGGACTGTGGGGAGAGGACAATGTTTGGAAGAGACTCCGGAGGAGGCCGAGGAGGCTGCCGCGGGAGCCAGCTGCTTCTCGAACCAGTCGGGGTTCTGGCTGATGTGCTGGTGCATGTTGCAGATGGAGACGTAGAGCGAGCGTCCAGACTTGCTCCTGAAGTAGTTCCTCCTGGAGACGTTGAGAGGCTGCTGCTCACGGTCGGCAAAGCTGGACTGACTGGAGTGGAGCCGACTGAAGAGCTGAGGCAGCTGGTCCATCAGCTTGAACCTGAAGAAACAGAAACCATCAGTTACTGTGAGTTCGATGTGCGTCTCATGGTGTTTTGTCCACAGTGCTGTATTCACCTTGGGGCCAGACTCAACATGGTGGGGATGTCGTTTTCTGTCGAGTAGTCGAAGTAGACCGCCATGTAGCGGTTCAGCTCCTGATCCCCGCCCCCTTCGCTCTTCTTCGCCATACGCAGCTTTTCAGCGACCATGGCCACGCCCACCGTAAACAGGTCACTGCCAGATCCACCAATCGGGGCGCTGCTGCTGCTGCTGCTGTTGCTACGGCGACTGACAGGCGTCTTCCCTCTACGACTCTTCTTCTCCACATAGTAGCTGCAGGAAGAGAACAGAGCGATATATAAAACAGAAGCATGAGAAATGGGAGGACGAAAGGTGTGAGGACAGAGGGACGAGGGTTGGTTCTGGAGAAGATCAGAATTATTGAACCAAATTTTGTCCCTCTGTCCTCAATAAAAGACAAATTATCAATCTCTGGATCTGTTCATTTGTATTTTATATTTGAAATGGGCTTTTTTTATGTCCATAACATGAGCAGTTTTCATAAATGAACTACAGAAAATTGAAGGATGGTATTTTAACAAAGGGTGGAGCTGAGGACAGGTGATCAAACGGTGGTTTGATAGATTGAGACTCTTCCAATTCTATATTTTACTTTATCTTTTCATAAAAGAACATTAAATCAATATTATAACACATAATAATTGCTGAGTATTAATGTATTTAATGAAATTTGAATAGAATGTTGAGGATGTTGACTTTTAGGCAGTAAATCTACAGCACTAGCACCATCTAGTGGCCGCTGCTTCACTTGTTAAACAGTAGAGTGGAGTACCGGAGGCCTTTGGAGCAGACGGTGATGATGAAGTTGGCGTCGTCCAGCTGGCGGCTGAGCCACGACATCTGACCCTCTTTACACATCTCCAGATGTTCCCACAGGTCCAACACAACCTGAACACAGGTGAGCAACCAACATTCAAACTGTGAACTCGGATTTATTTCTTCTTTTATTCGTTTCCCTCTTCGTCACACAGTCGCCATGTGTCGGTTTTGGTGTTTCACTGTCTCACCTCACAGTTGCAGAAGTCCTGCAGGAAGTAGGCGAAGCTCTGGATGACGCCGGTGTGTTTGGGACAGTCTCTGTTGGAGTAACAGATGAAGACTTTGGGTCGAGGCCACGGCCGCTCCGTGTTCAGCGCTGCGCTTTGATTGGACGACTCGCTGCTCTCCTCGTCCAGCTGGCTGTAGATGTTTTCTGACAGAAGGAGAAACGATAACACAAAGATCAGAACACTCACTGTTAGGTCTGTACAAATGTTCACATAACGCAGCGTCATTTAGCGTCAACTAAATTAAGATTAAGGCTGTTTTCTTATTGTCTATTAATCTGTAGTTTATTTCACTGATGAATCATTTGGTCAATACCATGTCAGAAAATAGTGAAAATAATACTTTCAATCAATCAGTTATGCCAGATAAAGATTAATTAAAGATTAATTTAAAAAGCAGTCGATACCAGAAAAGACAACAATCAAAGAAACCTCAGATGAAAACATTTATACATAATCAACACACAAACATTTAGTCAGACAAAACTGAGGTTGGAAGACAGTGAGGTAAAACCAGCAGCATCACATGATCAGTGTTTCTCTCACCTTGCTGCTTCTTGCGACACATGACCGTGAAGAGAGTGGCGAAGGCGGACATGATGACCAGAGGCACCGTGATGGCCATGGCACGGATAGGCCCCGCCCAGGGGGAGTGGACTGGAGGACGAAACACAGACACCCGGCATGAGACAATAGAATTAAGATTAGTGAAAGTTTTTTAAAGCAAACGTAGGAAGTAATTCAAGATTTTCTGTAACGTCCGTGTCTCACCCTGGCTGACGTGGTACTGAGTCTGCCTCCTGGTCGTGTTACTGTCGTCTCTCAGCTGACAAAACAGAAAAAATCAATAAACCAAATGAGGGGGAGGATCAGAGGAGAGAGAGAAATCAATCAGACATTTGAAATTTAATCTATTTATTTCATGCACAGTAGAATCAGGATGAGATCTCTACGATGATTAGTCTCATGATGAAAACGTGTGAATGAAGCTCAGTCCCGTGCTGCGTTTACTGACCTCTACAGTGTAGGTTCCTGGAGTGACGTTCTGGAGGACACATGTGGTTCTGAGCTGGTTCACGTCCTGCACAGAGTTTTTTTTATTTTATTTTACAAAATCAATCACATATTTCACACTTGATGTCCAAGCAAAGAATCTGGCCTCACTGGTTTGCAGCGCTGCAGTTTGAAAGGTCCGTCGTGCCTCAGTTTGTAGTACAGGTAGTAGAAGTGGAAGCCGAAGGAGGGCGGAGCCTGGTCGAACGCCACGTGGAGGTTGGAGCCCAGCTGAGACACGTTCAGGGTCTTCGGCCTCCAGACTGAAAAGAAACAAACGTCAGCCTCTGCTCCAGATGACACAGTGTCTACATGTGGCTCTGGTGGTGATGACGACACTTACATGGTTTGCAAACTAAGTTGTCTGATCCCAGGAGGACTTCACACGCTGCAACACACAAACAGACAAGTTTGTTCTCTGCGTCCACAACAGAGATAAATCCAGGCTTTGTTTAGCTCATCTTTGTGAGTTAGCGACCAGGCAGTGAACGGAGCCTTCATCTGTAACTGTGATGACTATGAAGACTTCAGAGGTTCTGTGTATGATCACTGCACGTCAGTAAACAATTAATCTGCAGAATCTGGGCAGTGCTGAACTCACAATTGGTCCTGAGGAAGGACGGAGGGAAGAAACTCTCGTTCATCAGAGTCGGGAAAGGAACAACACGAACCATGTAGTCAGTGTCGAAAGTCAAACCGCTGAATGGCTGACTGCTCAGCCTCTGTGAGGGGAAAATAAAAATAAATCATCAGGAAACAAGACAAAAGAAAATGTGTTCATTCAAAGAAATCAAGAAAATACTGTCTGATAACAATTTTATTGATTAATAATAATAATATTAATAACAAGCTTTATTTATATTGCACTTGTCTTGATAACAGAAAGGAATCAGAATGGTGTTTTTTCTCACCGTGCTCTTGTAAGAGAAGTTGAGTTGTCGTGGATCTTTGAGGAGGAGATGTTGACACTGTTTCCCTTCTGGATTCTTGTCCTCCAGATAAACTCTGAAGCCTTTAATGTGTTCGATCCCTGAAGACACAGAGACACAAAGTTCAGCCTCCGACACAGGGACACTGCGGTGTTGAGGGGCCTGCAGCACCCTCCACTGGGAAGGGGCTGTAACTACAAAACAAAAAAGCTGATCGACTTCCGGCATCCGCATGCATCCCTCTCTCCTCATTTCCTTTCCTCCTCCATTTATCTACTTTGCTAAAACTTCTAATTTTCCTTTCCTCATCCAATGTGTCCTCTACCTGCTTGTGATCTTCCTTACTTCCTTTCGTTCCTCTGTGGTTTTTCCTTTCCTTGTTTCTCCTCTCTCATTTTCTTTCCTCCTCTCATCACAAAACTACCTGTCCTCATTTTGTCTCCTTCTTCACGTCCTTCCATGCCTTCCTTTCTCCTTTCCCTCCCCTCTTTGTGTTTACTTTCCTTGACAAATCAACCTCATTTTTCTTTCCTCTTTCCTGTCCTTGTTCCCTTTCCTCTTCCTATCTCATCGCTTTCTTTTCTTTCCTTCCCTCCTCACTAAACTACCTTTCCTTCTCCTCGCTCCCTTTCCTCAACTCCTCGTCACCTCTCATTTCCTTTCCTCACCTCTGTCAACTATTTCTTTCCTTTGTCTCCTCTCCTCCCCCACCCTCATCCTCGCTGATCCTCAAAGACACGTCTGTCTTGTAATTACACCTTTGTATCCACGGGACATGTTTTTCCTATTAGAGGTATACAGATAGATGAAGAGAGAGAGAGACGGTGGGAGGGAGAGAGAGAGAGGGGGGGACAGAGAGAGAGAGAGGGAAGGAGAGAGGATGAGAGAGAGAAAGAGCGAGAAAGGGAGAGAGAGAAAGAGGGACAGAGGGAAGGAAAAAGAGAGGGACGGAGGAAGAGAGAGAGGGGGGCAAATGAAGGGAGAGAGTGAGACAGAGAGAAAGGGGCAGAGGGAGAGAGAGCGAAAGAGAGAGAGGGATGGAGAGAGAGGAAGAAAAGGAGAGGGAGAGAAATAGAGAGAGAGTGTGTGTTCAGGAATCTGCCTCAAGACAGAAAACCTGTTCTTCTACTCCCTCCCTCCCTCCCTCCCTCCCCCTCTCTCTGTCTCTCTCTCGACAGTCGAGGACAAACAGGGATGTTTTTGCACTTTAACAGCCGCTGCAGTGACGCCAGGTTGCTGCTCAGGTTTTGTTTTTTGTTTTTTTTCCTTCTCTTCAGTTCCGAGATCTTAATCTTCCAACCTTGATTTAAAGTATTCATGAGCCACAGGTGAAGAGGTGCAGATCCACCATGTCTCAAACTCAAAGACACTTTACAAAGTGATAGAAAAAGCAAATCTTCATATTAAATAAGCTCCGTGGACGATAAGAACAGAAACACGCTGCATGAATAAAGTTTCAGAAATAAAGCGGCTGTCTTTACTCATCAGGGATCAATTACAGACTGTAAAGAAACATGGATGATGCTTCTTCACTTCCTTTCTTCTATCCAGACATGAAGCCGAAACATCCCTGATACTTTGACTCAATGAGCCAAAGTCACTAAAATGGAGGTCGGAAACTTGTTTTAACAGATTTTCAGTGAACTGAACATCTCGAACAGACGTTTGATTATTATACGAAAATCTACGACCGGCTATGAAACGATTTAATAAAATAAAAATAAAACGTTTCCAGACGTGTTGCTGATCAGATGCAGTTCAAATGAGAAATGGAACATTTCTGGAAGATTTCTGTGTCAGTGAGAAAACAACAGAATGTATTGTCACAGTGAGAGAGAGAGAGAGAGAAAGAGAGCGAGAGAGGTTCACCTTACACCGAGCACATGCACGAACACACATTCCTTCACGGTCAAATCGTGGTATTGTTGTGTGTGATGTGATCCTCTCTCTTTCTCAGGCTGATCAAAGGGGCGCACACACACACGCAGACACACACACACACACACACACACACACACACACACACCAGGCTAATCTTACAGATTTGAGCACTTTGAAGGTTTTACTTCCCTGTTCCTCCTCCTCCTTCTCTAAAACTTTCTCTCTGAAGAACCTCGTGAGCAGGCGGACGACAGACAGAGAGTGCAGCAGGTAAACAGACAGGTAGACAGACAGACAGGGCAACAGACAGGTAAGTTACCTAGTGGACTTGGGGACCAGTGGACCACCACAGCAGCCTGATCGTCACAGGACAGGTGGCTGAAGGAGACGTTGGCGACCTCGTGGATGACATGTTTCCCCAGTGGGTAGTTTATTGAACAGTCTGCAGGACGAGAGATGGAGGAAAAGAGAGAGATTAAATAAGTATATGACAAATTATCATTATGTATTTCCAAACTGCTCTACACATGTTGACATCAGCATCTTTCACTTCATTTGCTTCACAGTGTGGATTTGTTTTTTAAAAACCTTGAAGCCAAACAACAAACTTGTAAAACTCAGTTTTACAGTTTGGACTCGACTCATTAACCTCCTCAGGTGCAGAAACGTCTGAGCCCATTAGAAGGAGGACGTTTCTGAGGAGCGACACAGATCAGTTTTTAAGGTTGATACGGGCCAGGTGGAAAATAGCATCGATCTATAATTTCTGCAGTTCCTTAATTATATATGATTGTAAACTGAATATTTGATAATTTGGGGGTTTAAGAGAACTGGATTTAATCTCTTGTTTTTGGTCAATACATTTACGACTGAGCAAAAAAAATATTTTATACAAGTTCAGCATTAAAGAGATAAGACAAATATAAGGACATGTGACATATGTGAGAGCAGCTGGCGTCACATGTTGAGAACAGGTGATTGAACTGCACACTCCGGATTCCACAGGAGTCATCAGCACAGAACTGTCATTCACACCTTCACCACGTGTACTCTGACACCGCCTCCTCCTGCTCCTGACATTTCTCTTGTGAAAGACAAAGATGGACGGGCAGAGGAAGAGGAAGAGGAGGAGGAGGAAGAGCAGCCAGCCATGAACCGGGAGGGATCGGAGGAGAAAAGATGGACTTAGGACGCAGAAAGAAAAAGGGGCGTGAGCTCAGACACGACTGACTGCTCCTCTTTCCTCCAGCCAGCCACATATTGAAGGAGAAGACTGAGGTGGAGGAAGATGCGGACAGAGGAGAGGAGCCTTTTTTTAAAAAAAGGATGGAGGCAATAGAGAGGAGGTTAAAAGGGCATGGGATACACAAGGTCAATGCTCCTCTTCCTCCCGCCTCATCGTCCTCCTCAAAGCGGGGTCATGTTCAGAGCTCAAGGAGAAGGTCACAGTTGGTTGCTCCTCTTCCTTCTCCTCGTCCATCATAAAGCTCCTCTATAGAATGTAAGGAGGTGGGAAAGGCTGCAGCTTAATTGTTACTCCTCTTCCTCCTTCAGTCCTCTTTGACCTCAGTTTCTTTGTGAGATAAAGGAGTGGAGATAAGAGGAGACGTTCACTGCTGGACGAAGAGGAGAACCTTCATCTTTAGTTCTCTCCTTCCTTAAAGAGGCAACAAGTAGGTTCGAGCTTTCACCCTTCTTCCTCCTCCTCTTCTTCCTCCTCTCCCTCTTTTCCTACACTCTCAAGAGTCTTTAAGACAAAGTGAAGACTGAGGAAGCTAAAGAAGGACTAAATCTAAAAATGCAATTATGCTATAAAACGTCTGTTCACCGGCTTCACTCTTCTGTAAGAACGCAAACATGGCAACTTCAACGATAACGTCCAGAGGAATCTGTGTGAGAAAACATTATGTTCACAGGATTCACCGCAAGCAGGAGGGTGTGTTGACACCGTTTCATGTTTCGTGTGAAGGACGGGAAACTGCAGGAATACAAATATCAAGATGAAGAAGAGGAGTCGTACAAGTACACGATGAGACGAGATGAGATTGAAAAGATTTTGGTGACGTCATGCCCTGCCCCCCCATGTTGTTGTGACTGCGTGACCTGGAAAACCTCCTGCTGAGTTCGTATCTGAAAACAGCTTCATAGAAATATAGAAGTCCACTAAATATAAACTGATTATATAACTACATAAAGAACATATTTCAATGTAAAATGTGTGTGTGTGTGTGTGTGTGTGTGTGTGTGTGTGTGTGTGTGTGTTGATGGTACTGATGGAACATGTCCCTGTGGCTCAATGATGTAGTTTTTGTACAACAAATGGATTTTTTTGACTATAAAAAAATATCTTATGTCTCCAGACGTGTGTGTGAAGATTATCTGATCTTATCACAACTGCAGGTCAAAGGTCGCCCTGCTTTATATTCTCCATTACATCACCGCAAACACAGTCAGAGTCAGAAGAAGGGAACTCGGAGGCTCCTCCTTCATCCAGCTGGAGGTTCACAGGAAAGGAAGCAGTGAGGTGTGTCACACCCTCAGCACACACACACACTCACTCACTCACGCACACACACACACACACACACACACACCTCAGTACACACACACAATGAGCCTGATTCCAATTGTCATGCTAAAACACCTCCATGCTTCACTTTGGCTTAAACCTTGTGGGTCTAAAATCTTTTTCTATTTCATCAGTTCTTAAAGAGGACGCATCATCGTTTCGGTCACATGACCTTCTGACCCCTGACCTCCACATCATTGGTGACATAATATGTATGAAGATCAGATTCAATGGAAATGAATTGCTGTTGGAGAGAACAGGGAGTCATTTCACATTTCACATTTCGGGAAAGTCAATTATTTGCTTCCCTGCAAAGAGATCAATGAAAAGATCAAACCCTCTCTCATGTCTGCAAATATGAAAACAACATGTTTATTTGATCTGAGCATTACTCACCAGAAAATGACAAAAGAGGAAGCCAGCTGTAATTGATTCATTCTGTAATTTTACCACAGTTTTCCTGCTCTGCAGTGTCAAAACTTTTTCATTTATAATTCATCACAACTGAGACCTCTGGTCAGAGAAACATGACCTCGTTATTCAGGGAGTTCGCATTTTTCACATTTCATAGCATAAATTAGTAGCTGGAGAAAATAACCAGCAAACGTTTGGTTGATGGAATTATTACATTCATGGATTTATCATGTTAAACAAAAGAAGTTTGATTATTATAAAGTTTTATTGGTTTAGTTTGTTCTGATGTATATTTTTGTCTCCGGACTAAAACTATTTATACAGTTTGATATGAGGATTGCTTGAAGACTGGGATGCACACACACACACACACACACATACACACACAAACAAAAGGAACGTGCTTCTCGCTCATGGTCACGGACAAAGGGAGGGAGGGAGGGATCGGCCACGGCTCAGGAACTTGACTTTTACAGAGAAAATAACAAAAGAGCAGGAAGATGGTGGTGGAGGAGGAGGAGGAGAAGAGGATTTTCATCCCGGGTCGCATACTTAATATTTATTCGGGGGTGGGATCAGATTGCGGACAATGTTCTGATGCTGTACCACCTGAATGTTAAAATAAACAGGGATTGACTTTTTGATTCCCACACCCAACAACACTGAAGGTTTGGAAATGTCATCATCAGGAGTAAATACAAAAGGAAACCTGGATTCCAGCGCCTGGAAATTCAAAGTAAACCACAGAAACTGTTGGATCGTCCAGATTTGATTTACAGAGAAACTCACTGTCAGCTCTGAAGGTGACGGCCAACCTGCGACCTCCATCTGCCCCCGACTGCACCTGAGAGAGAGAGAGAGAATCACATGACGTTAAAAAAAAGAACCTGATGTTTGTTAGTTCAATCAGCGACCGAACATTATTAAAACACCGTTGCCACGTCTCTGTGTTTCCGTCACTGATGTTGTAAGTGAACCATGACTGACTCAGGTTCCAAATGACGTCAGCAGTGCAAGATGGCAGCGCTCGTATCCAGGACACTTTGGCTTCATTCTTAGAAAGAGGGAGGAAGGTGGAGACGCGTTGTCCATCTTTATTTTTACGTTCTATGGTCCCAACAAATGGACGGATGTGCGGCACTCTTAGTTCCCGCTGCTTCGGTGCTTTGACTGAAATGCGACACCAGGCTCCAGCGGGTGGTGTCAGACCTGGAACTATCCTTCCGAGCACCACCCAGCAGCTCCATTCAATACAAAGGACAGCAGATACAGTGGCACATGATGAGCACCGAGATAAGCGGGGGTGTGTGAACATCATCGCATCCCCTGTGAGCTACGGTTACCCAGAATCCCCCTCTCTGCAGCCCAGGACAAAGGCACTGTTTCTCATAAGGTCTGTTTCAGCCCTGACTGAGCAGAACAGTTTTATAGGTTTGACCTTGTTTTCATGGGCGACACACACACACACACACACACACAGACACACATACACACAAAGTTGTTACAGAGGTGTCAGACTGTGGTCACACACAACAACCACACACACACACCTGAAATCAATCAGACAGACCCCCTACTGTGTGTGTGTGTACGTGTTATGGAAGGTGTGCCATGCTTGTTAGCAGCCAATGTACCTCAACAACCCATCCACACACACACGTTTGTAATTATATACTTGTGAAGACCATCATTGACATAATACACCCCCCCGGCCCTTAAAACCAGCTCTTGCATCGACCATAAACCAGAAGTAAAGCATCAAACAGCCCTTTGAAGAAGTGAGGACAGAGGAAAATGACAGAAACACACACACGTCTATCCTGTCCTGTTGCTATTAATTATAGATTTTGTCTCCACTGCCGACCTTTGACCCTCCCGAGGTTTACGCGCTGCTGCGACCACACGTGTCCTGCTGGCAGCATGAAATGGGAGGCTAATTAAAAGCGCAAAAAATAGCAGACTTCCTGACCGGTCGCTCTGAGAAAAGAAAGTACCCTGCCCCGAGAGAAACGCTGGTTCTGGTGCAACCTCTCCGACGACAAGAATGTTGGTTAAAAAAAAAAAAAAAAAGAAGGAAAGCCAGTGAGTGAATGCAGAGGAGTGAGAGACTTCATCATATCACCTCCATCAACAAGGGTGCTACAGTCCTGTGTGCTAAACATTGTGTTGTTGTAAAAGCTGACCCATGTTGCACTTTTGGTTTTGGACGACCCAGATTGTTTTCTGGAATCTTTGTGTCTGGACCCGTTCTGCATTAATGACAGTTTAGCATTTTATGCTGTTGTGTGTTTACACATGGCGCCAGAGCTTCTGTACGTTCCAACACAACGGAGGCTGTTAGCAACCATTCCTACGCCATTTCCCCCCAAACGCTAACTGGTACTTCTGAAGAAAAGAATGCGCAATGAGAGTTTGTCACTTCACACACACTTGTCAGGGTGAGGGTGATGGAGTTTGAGTCAGGTCGCAGGATACATGTCTGATGATTAGAGGAGCTAGGATGTGAATTAAAATAAGACCAATAAAGTAAAATATTCTAGATTTGGGTGGAGTGCTGCCATGTCGTCCAGCTTTTACACAGTTTTAGGTCTGGACCGTAACACCTGTAATTTCCACTTTAGCTGTGCACATTCCTGCGAGGGCCAGGAACGTTGTCCTCTTTCTTTTCACTCATCGGTGTCAAAACTTCTTTTTTACTACAGTCACACAAACCATCTTTGCTTTGGCCTCAATCTTTTTTGTTTGTGCCAAAGCTGTAAATTGGTCTTCACGTCTCTCCATGAGATCTAGCACCATCGTTCTGGAGCAACAACCAAACCTTTCATCAAATTTCTCTCATGACTTTTCAAAAGCTCAGAATTGAAACTATTTTTCTACGTTGCCCATCACCACGAGACAAACCTTCACACTTTACAACTGACAATTCCTCCAAAATAACAGGCAGAGAAAAAATGATTTTCTTCCTGCCCGTGGCCAGGTGTTTCTCACTAGTAACAATCGTTACAGTCCACACACACACACACAGACACACACACACAGACCCACCCTGGAGCCAGAGCAAACTGAGTCACATCATCAAACAACCCAAAAAAAAAAAAAAAAAAAAAAAAAAAAGATAATAAAAGAACTGTTCATTATTCGTAATAAAAAAAGGACCGAAGAGCAGCTGTTGGAGATCTAACCGCCCGCAGACACGCGGAGTGTTTGGAGAAATGTTGCAGGTTCGACTCCGTGCTTCAACTCACTTTTTAAAAACAAACATTAAGAATCAAAAGCGAATTTCAAATATAAAAACACAAGAAGCTTCAGCATGAAAAGAGCAGAATTCCCCTCGGAAACCACCCCCCCCCCCTACACACACTCACACACACACACAATCAGCTCCTGCTGTAATCAGGCCAGCTCAGTTAACTGAACATCAACAGTAATTAATCACAGCGCCAGAGGAAATCACAGGAAAGAGCGAGGTAGAGGAGGATGCAAGGAGGAAGGAAAGTACGATAGAAAAGGGAGGATGATGGGAGGCGTAATCGGCAGGCCTGCAGGGAAGGATGGTGGGAAGGAAGAACGAAAAAAGGAAGGAGGGAAGAGGAGAAGGAGGAATCTGATTAAACAGGAACTCCTTCAATTACAGCTTTCAAGGTTCATGTAGCAGATTTCTCCTCTGCCTCGTCTTGTTTGGGGCCAACAGAGCAGTTCCAGATGTGGGACAGAGAACATGGGACACAGTCACTGTTGACCTTTAATCAGCATACGAGCTGAGCTACAAACAGCGAGAAGGGTTCTGCTCGGATAACCAGGACGAGAGCAGGGTTATGAGCTTCATTACTTTTTAACGGATGAAATGAGCATCTGTCAGGATGCGAAGATTTATAGTCTTACACTATTATTTCATCATTTCGTATTTAGATAAAGTTCTCGTATTTAGAGGAACTTTTAAAAATGTTGGCTTCTGTTGCTGAGGACGGAAGGTCTAAGAAAAGATTCACTATAATTACATTTTATTTATTGAACTTCTCGTCATGTCACGATCACCATCAATACATGAAGTTGTCTGTGGGTTAATAAACACAAATATTCAGTCTGAAGGAAATGCTGTACCTGTCTATCTCTAAAGCTGCTCTCAGAATGAACTCTGCGTCTGTATTTTCTATTTTCTCCGTCACACATTGGAGCTGCAGCAACACAATCGTTTTAGTTCTGAAAAAGCATCAGTGGGGGGCTTGAACTAAAATGTTTCCTTAAAACAGGAGAACTTAGTACAACAGCACAAAGAACCAACACTGTGTGGTTGTGTGTGTTCAGTTGATGAGGGTCTTGTTCCTGCAAAGGCCTCAGGGCTCAAAACTCAGCCCTGTTCCTCTAATGTCTTCCTGTCTCTTGCACACACACACACACACACACACACTTACACAAACACACACACAAACACTGCCATATGGGACAACATGGCTGCACCAAAACATCTACAGTATGTGTGTGAATTTAAGGAGCATTAACTTGCCAGTACAACACTATAGCTGTTTTCAGGCATTACCAAAAACAGTGACAGAGTTTCCCACATCACGCACAACAACACAGCAGTAAATAAACACAGCAGAGCTTCTTCCGGCTGATCGAAGAAGGGAAGAACAAGTAAAACCAGATAAACTGTTACAGCCTAAATTACCTCCTTCTGTGGATTTACATATTTCAGTGAAACCAGGTCCTATAAAACTGGCTGAAAGGATTCACTAGCTTTAATAATAGTGTTGACTTATCCATCATCCTTTTCATCCGAGAGGGATACACATCGTCCGTGTCAGGAATTTCAGACATTTTCCGCTTGGCTGCTCATAATTATGATTCAAAATACACGTCGAGAAGGTGACGTGAGGAAGAACTGAGTGAAAACACAGTTTTGTCACAAACTATGAAACTGCCCACTTCAACCGCTGCAGCTGCTCATGCTAAATGGAATCATAAACATTAAAGAGGAAGAGCAGTAGTCTTCTTTTTACTGTTTTGGGGTTTTAGTGTGGACAGGAAATCTGTAAAGAGCGAGGTAAGCTCCGTCCCTGTGTGTTACAGATCATAAATCATCACTGATGGTAAAAACAGACACAGTGATGAAACACAGAGAAGAGCTTTTCAACATGTGAGCCTGAGAGGACCGTCAGTCCAACAGCGGATATGAGATTTCCAGTGTTTACACCAGTTCTTCACATTGATTCTCTGGATAATTCAGCTCCAGTCATTACATGTAAGAATTAGCCGACACAATAACCAAGTAACTCATCCATGTATGATAGCTATAAACAAAGTGAACCCTAAAGTAAAGTGCAGATAAATACGTGAGAGTGTTGTTGTCCTTCCTGCTCCATTTTTGTTTAAATTTTTTACAAAATGAAGATTAGAAACAAGGTTTGGTTTGTTTTTCAGGAGCTCAATAAAAGTTGAGATACAGAAAAAAACTAAATCTCAAATTCTGTACAAACGTTTCTCCCCTCAAACATTATAATTTCCTGTTCCGTTAAAACAAACACATAGTTTCTCTTCTTTTTTTCATGACATAATGATATGATATTAAAAAAAACTATCATGGTTCCAGAAATAAATTTTAAAAAACCTCTTCAGTCTTTGCTAAACAGTTTTCACATCAGAGCTCAATAATGACGTTGATCAATAAGGAAAATAAGATGATAAATAGAAGTAGCTGGAGCTGGTCTGTGTGTGAGTGTGTGTGTCTGACCTATTTAAAGTGACAACACTTAATTTCCATCCTCACGTTTAATTTAACTGATTATTTATAAATTTATAAAATGAAAAATCTCATCTGCTCGACATCAGCTCCAGAGGAACAAG